ATATGCCTGTAGTCCTGGTAACAGGGTGCTTAGACAGGAGGATGGTGAGCTTGAGACCACTCTGGGCAACACAGCAGGATGCTGTCTTTATTTATTCTGTCTGGAGTTGATAATTTTATCTGTGGGAAATTTGGTCCAATCCATTATTAGACTCTGCCACTGTTGGACTAGAAACCTGACCCAATTGGCGGTTTGTACTGAGCCATCACGCAAGTTTAGAAAAAGTGGCTGGTCACATTGTCTGCTACCCAATGGGACACACTGACAGAGCTGCACTGTGCTCCCCAAACAGAACAGAAGAGAGAAAGGAAAGGATGAAGACAATGAGAAGCACTGAGGGAAGCGTTTCTGATACTGGGAAAGAAAGTGGACTAATGGGCTCTCTCATGAGCTGCTGGTGGTGGTATTAACAGGCACCAGACCTTTATGACCCAATTTGGCAGGACCCATGTATCATTTTTTTTTAAGAGAGACTTTTGCTATAGAGACAGAGAGAGACAGAAAATAAGAAATCACCCCTCTCCAGGGGGGAATGACCACACTGCAATCCCTTCTCCTCCATGCTCCTCTTGGGATCTTGGGCATGCATGCCCACACTCCTGGAGTAAGTTTTAAGCTGCCAGGTCCGGGACTTGAACTGCAGTTGACTTTGTGGGAGTCTAGCAACATAACCATTATGCCATCTATTGATCCCAAGACCTGTGAATATCTAATAAGCAAGCACCCCTGTTCCTCAGTATCTAACTCAGAATGCTCAGAGCATTACTATTTATGATAGAAAACAAAATGGAAGCATCCCAAGTGCCCACCAGCAGGAAAAGGTGTTTGTTGTGGTCTGTTTTCACTGTGGACTACTGTACAGCAATCCTTCACCACAGCTGCGAACAGTAACATAAGGGAATATCTGGAATATGCTGAGTGCAAAAGCAGGTTTCAAAAGACTGCATATAGTATGCTATTCCTTTCTGTTTGCTTTAAGGATCAAAGTATTCCAGAAAAAGTAAAGGAATAATCAACATAAAATTCAAGATACTGGGGACCAGCAGTTGCTTAATGCTATGTTGCTGGACTCCCACGTAGTCGACTGTGGTTCAAGTACCGGACCCAGTGGCTTAAATTCACACCAGGTGCATGTGCGTGTGTGCCCAAGATCCCGAGAGGAGAATGGAAGAGAAGGGATTCCGGCGTGGCCATCCCCCATGGGGGGTGATTTCTCGCTTTCTGTCTATCTGTCTCTCTCTCTTTCAGGTAAGCGCATGTGCCCTATAGCAAAAACTTCTCAAAAAAAAAAAAAAATCAAGACACCGGTTTTCTGTAGAGGAGAAAGGGAGGGAAATGGAATGGAGAAGGAGCAGATGGACAGTCAGCAATGGTCATCACTAGTGGTCCAGGTCTTGCTCAGATGTTGGATTCATAGATACTTGTTTTACTAAGAATGAATGAAGGAATAAATGAAGAAAACATGGACCAGATATGACCAGGTGTCAGCCATCAAGGATTAGGATTAATCTCAGAGTGTGCACTAGAGGTGGCAGGAGTCCACACGTGGGGACAGCCACCAGTTACAAAGGCGAGCACCCAAGAGTGGCTCTCGGAAGTGAAGTAACAGATACGTATGACAGCGGCACCTGCAGAAGGAGGTGCTGAGTGCTCCCCTCCGAGCTGAGGGTGAGTGTGAGGAACTGCTGTTTCTCGTTAGGTCCCTGCCCTGTGTCTCCCCGGGACCCAGTGTGTGGCCTCCGCAATTCGTGTTGCCTGGCCAGGGCACTGTTCTAAGGTTACAGCACCTGCAGCTCCAGTCTGCATCCACAGTGCCCAGGGCCAACACAGAGGCTCAGCGCAAGGCTGAGAGGAAAAACACACTCGAACTGACATGACGGAGCTCCTTCCCTCTGCCCCAACCGAGGTGCTTCCAAGGATCCAAGGGCGAGGTCTGTTAGAGGTCAGTTCCTAATTGGAACACAAAAAATGTACAAGGGAGGATAAAAGATATTTCTGGTCATGCCTCAAAATAGCTGCAGACCAGTCAGTGCTTCTGGCCGAGCTCGCCTCCCAAATTCCAGGCTGGGCACTGTTGATAACACTGTTTGCAATGGTCTAACTAACTTCCCCAGGGAAATTGGACAAAATAAAATAAATCATAAATATCTATCATTGCCTCAGAAAGAAGAAACATCTGCTAAAACCTGTGAACTTGCTCTGGCACAAGGGAATGGGCGGCTTTGGTGGTCCTGAGCTGTGTTGCTCTGCATCAGAAGCCAAACTACAGAGAACTTCCCCAGGACCATGGCACACTGCATGGGGAAGCAAGATGCAGGACTGTGCCTTGCCCAACAGGCAAAACACCACATCTGCAGCCATCAGAAATGAAGGCCAAGGCCCAGCTGTAGGGGTGCAAGGCTAGCTGGGAGGTTCGAAGCTACATCGGAGGCCCGGGTTCAGTTCCTGAACACTGAAGATGTATTTGCATGTTCCTGTATCCTAGCTAAATGGGCGGGTGGGGTAGGAGGCTTGGGACACAGACAGACCCCGTTAAAAATGCCTATCTCGGGACCAGCAGTTGTGTAATGGCTATGTCACTGGAATCCCATGTAGTCGACCACAGTTTGAGTCCTGGGCTTAAACTCACGGCAGGTACGTGTGTGTGTGTGCCCAAGATCCTGAGAGGAGAATGGAGGAGAAGGGATTGTGGCATGGCCATCCTCCCTGGGGGTGATTTCTCACTTTCTGTCTCTCTGTCTCTCTCTGTCTTTCTGGCGAGTGCACACGCCCTATAGCAGAACCTCTCCCCCACAAAATAAATAAATAAATAAAAGCTTATCTCAGGGGACCAGCAGATGGCATAATGGTTACGTTGCTGGACTCTTACATGGCCGACCATGGTTTGACTCTTGGACCCAGTGGGCTGAAACTCATATTGGGTACGTGTACATGTATGACCCCTATGTGGCCGACCATGGTTTGACTCTTGGACTCAGTGGGTTGAAACTCATATTGGGTACGTGTACATGCATGACCAAAGTCCCAAGAGGAGAATGGAGAGGAAAGGATTGTGGTATGACCATCCACTCCTGGGGGATGATTTCTCACTTTCTGTCTGTCTCTCTCCAGCAATTGCATGTGTCCTATAGCAAAAATCTGTAATAAATAAATAAAATAAAAAAAAAAAGCCCATCTCTAAAAAAGAAAAGGACGATGGGCCAATTAAAATGGCCAAGGGCGAAAGCTCTCTAGTAGCAAGAGTTCCTGTTTCACGTGGTCACTCTAATTGGTCACCAGCCCCTCGCAGCTGTTGCCCAGTCTCTGCTGATGGGCCCCAGAGTCCTGTCTACTGACGGCGTCTGATGCACAGCTCCTGGTCACTCCACTCCTTACCCTTCTCCGCCATTACTCAGATCTTCCCTGTCACTCTCATCACTGCCTTTCTCTCCAGGAATCCAATTCACATTTGGGTGTGTGACAGGAATGAAGATACTAGTAACTAAGAATGCTCGGCATTGCTTTGTAATGAGTGTCATTTCCCACTCAGCCATCCCAGAAAGACTCTAGAGCGTCTACTGCTGTCCTGGGAGGGTCAGATGCAGCCAGAGGGGTGAGCTGTGTTGGACAAACAGCATTGTACGCACAACCAAGAGCCAGGAAGACTCCTCCTCTAGTCCGATACAGGCTGGCAGGACAGAGTTCCCAGACACAGTGGTGGATAGCTTCTGGGTACCATGGTATGGGCAGACAGAAATATTTTTGACTTATTTTCAATTAAAATGTTTCACGTTGGGCCAACCAGTGCTGTGGTGGTTAAGGCGCTGGAAGCCACATGGCTGAGTGCTTAATTTGAATTTGGACCCAGCAGCTTGAGAACCATGCCAGGGGCCAAGTATGTGTGCCCAAAATCCCAACAAGAGGATGGAGGAGAAGGGATTGTGGCATGGCCAACCTCCTAGGGGGTGATGGCCATTTTTTAAATTTAACTTCTCTTTCTGTCTCTGTCTCTTGTGAGGTGCATGCACCCTATAACAAAAACAAAAAACAAAAAAATAAAAACTAAAAAAAAAAGTTTCATCTGTGCTCATTTATTCATTTAGAAGCTTTTCTCTCTTTTTTTTTTTTTGAGAGTTTATTTATTTATTTATTTTCTATAGTGCGTGTGCTCTTGCCAGAAAGACAGAGACAGAAAGCGAGAAAGCAAGAAATCACTCCCTGGGGACTGGCCACACCATAGTTCCTTCTCCATTCTTCTCTCAGGATCTTGGGCACACATGCACATGCCCCCCGCGTGAGTTTAAGCCACTGGGTCTGGGACTTGAACCACGGTTGACAACATGGGAGTCCAGCAACATAGCATTACTCTATCTGCTGGTCCCTAGAAGCTTTTCTTATTAGAAAACAAGTTAACTGAAATTACCGAAAATCCCTGTAGCACAGTGGTTAAGCACTGCACAAAGGAAGCTGCATGCCACGTGGCTGAACAAGGTCAAGTCCCAGCCCTGGCAGTTTGAAAACCATGTTGGGTATGCACATGTGCACAGGATCCCAATGGGATAAAGAAATGGAGGAAAAGGATTGTAGCATGACCAGTCCTGCTGGGATGCTCTCTCTTTACCTATCTCCCTCCTTTCCTCCTTCCCTCTCTGCCTTTCTCTTTCTCAAGCACTCACGTGCCCTGTCATTAAAAGAAGAAATTGCTGAAAATAAGGGGGCTGGATGGTGGTACAGCGGTAAAATGCAACACTCTGTGAGACTGCCCAGCATAAGAAGATTCTGGGTTTGTGTCCAGAAACCTCGCTGAGGACTCCAGACTCTCACGTGCCCATGACCAGGGCTGACTAAGGCTGGGTGGATCATGGCATCAGAACCCTGTTGACAGTCCTGTCTCTCTGTCTCTCTCACTCATGGAAGAAATAAATGAATAACTTTTACAACATGCCAAAAGTAGAGTGCTCCTCTCTAGTGATTAGCCTTTTTCATTGGGATGAATGAGTAATAAACGTGATGGAACGCACCTGGTTGTTTTCTTCTCCCAGAGCATCTAGAAAGCATCGCGTAAACACCTGAAGAGCAGCCAGTACTTCTGGAGCTCCATCCGTCTCCAGAAGCGCACACCTGGACAACGCAAAGTCAGAGAATCACGGAGTCAGTGACTGACCCGGCAGACGTATGAACCAGCCTGACAGGGACGAGTGGGAACATTCTCTCATGCCATGAGCTTCAGCAGTATGTCAGCTCGTCAGGTCTCATTCCTTGTGTGAAAGTAGGAGAAACCCGTCGCTCCCTTTTCTAAATAGTTTCTTTGAAACTGCAACATGCAGAGCTATTTCTCGGTTCTCAGACTATTAAGCGTCACACATGCCCTCCACATAAGAGCGCATGCTCTTCAAACACATCTATGGTCAGATGCGCAGCGCCAACAGACATTCTGCTTTCGTGAATGCAGACAGAAGTTGCCCAAATGGGTAAAATGGCTTAGTCACATCCGTCCAGCAAGGATCCATAGGTACCTGATGGGCTTCCATGCATTTTCATTCATACAATTAACATTTCTTTATGCAACTCAAAACTTTGCTAGCTTTTTTTTTTTCTTTTTAAAGAGAGATTAAGGGCGTGTCCACACACTTAAGACACAGAGACAGACAGAGAGAGACAAAATGAGAAATGAGAAATCGCCCCCCAGGGCCATGCTACAATCTTTTCTCCTCCCTCCTTCTCTCAGGGTTTTGGGCATGCATACACACGCCCTGAGTTTCAAGCCACCAGGTCTGGGACTCAAACTGTGGTCGGCCATGTGGGAGTCCAACACCCCAACCATTATACCACATCTTGGCTCCTACACGTTGCTAGCTTTAAGTTAAAATAGTATTCTGACTTCTATGATCTTTTGTTTAAAATTGATATGCCTGAGGATCAACCCAAGAGGTGAGTTATTTTGTAAAAATTCCTTTCTCCAGGGTCTGCAGTCTGCCCTGGGGCCCCTACTGCTGTGGGGGAGGCAGGTGGGGCCGGAGAGAGGGTTCATGCATGCCCCAGCACCCAGGAGAGAGGCTAGAAACTGTCCAGGTAGTGAGGTCCTCCAGAGGGTCCTAATCTTAGGACTCTGTCCCCCAACTGCCAGTCATAGCCCAGACTCGTGCCCATCCAGCTCCTTTTCTGCACATCCAGCACATTTCCCAAGAAGTCTCTGTATTTTTGAAATAAAAGTTAATGTGCTGTGAGAGAACACACACGGTTTATTTTGTCTTTCAGAAGAGCTCTGTTAAAAATGGCTTTATTTATTTATTTTTCTTGGCTTTCCTTAGCTTTAAGGTCCTTTAGAAAGATCAGTCAGCCCTCGTGTGGTGAAAGGAGTATACTGCTACCTTTATTCTTAGTTGAGAAAAATCCTGCACAGATATTTCATGTTAACATCTAATTTGTGTTCTTCTACTACTATTATTATAACTTACAGGGGCCAACAGGTAGTATGGTGGTTGGGATGCTAGACTCCCACATGGGCGACCGTGGTTCAAGTCCTAGTCCCGGTGGCTTGCTTTCTTACTTTCTCTCTCTCTGTCTGTCTTTCTCTGGTCAAGATGAAAAAATAATAGTAATAAATAAAATTAAGTAAACAATTCTTAAACAAAAGAATTTAAAAAGATCTTAATAAGTGATCTTAATTCTTAGGCATTGGCTTTTAAATACATACTAACATTTGAGATTTTGCCTTTACCAAAAAGCTCAGAGAAGAAGGGATAAAAAATTATTTCCTCATGGTAGGGCCAGAAACTACCCCCCCAAAACAAACAAAAACAAACAAACAAACAAAAATCCCACCCTTTATTCATGCTTGGAAATTGAGGATTTTTAGATTAATGTCTGATGGAAACAATGTAACATTTACCTGAACATTTCGTCAACAATCCGGAATATGGCAGGGTGGATGGCTGCTTGAGGCTGTGAAAGGAAAAGATCAGGAGAAAGGCAAATACCACAGGCATTTATTTCATCAGTATTTGCTATTATCAGACAAATGAGCTGTCTAGAATGTCTGGTATCTAGAAAATGGACTACCAAAAAGGATTCCCAGTACCTGGAAAAAGCCTCACACAGACAGTGGCTCTCTTTGGGCAGGGGATTATGGGAACGCTTTCTTTCTAAAAATATTTATTTTATATATTTTTTAATAAAGCAAAAATTCAGAATATGTTATTTTTTCCAACAGAGAACTTTACATCCTTTTCATCTCTTTACACTACTGTATGCCTCACGTTTTCTATAATAAATCCACATGATCCTGAAAAAATGAATCAGTAAGTAATCATGAAAAATATAAAAGCTCTCCCCCTTTTTTTTTGAGAGATTTCTGCTATAGGCACATGTATTCACCAGAGACAGAGAAAGACAGAAAGTGAGAAATCACCCCCAGGGGCCAAGGCACGCCACAATCCCTTCTACATTCTCCTCTGGGGATCTTGGGCACACATGCATATGTTCCCAGCATAAGTTTTAAGCCACTGGGCCTTGGACTAGAACTGTAGTCAACTATGTGGGAGGCCAGTGACGTAACCATTTACGCCATCTGCTGGTTCCGTAAAAGCCCTCCTCTCAGAATGCAGCAGTGAAGACAGAGCACACCAACATTACCAGTTTGGCTTTGCTGTGCCTGCACGTCTGACCTCCTCAATAGCTAGGAAGTGCCACACAGCCGGGGCTGGGCCTGCTCTCTCGTTTCCGCTCAGCAGGCATTGAGTACAAACATCTTAGAATTATCACTGAGGAACTGGTGACCTCACCATGCTGTACTAAACAACACGGCCTCTGGATGCACTATGAATTCAACAGCCTTTCTTTACAGTAAAATGAGGATTAATAGGAAAAAAAAAAGATCGAATGATGAAATTTCTTCCCTGAATATTTTTGTGATGTTTTGATGTTTTCTTTTTTTTCCTTTAAGATCCTTATCAAAGGGCACGTGTGCTCGCCAGAGAGAAATAGAAAGAGGAAAAATGAGAAATCATCCTCCAGCGGGGATGGCCACAAGGCAATCACTTCTCCATTCTCCTCTGGGGATATTCGCACATGTGCCTGGTGTGTTTTTCACGCTATTGGTCCAAGGCTACCATGGAGTCGGCCATGTGGGATCCGGCGCCCTAACCATTCTATGACACAGGTTGCGGTTTTAAACTTGCAGACGCTGGCCCCTTGTGGAGAAAAAGAAGGAAAGGAAATGGTTTTGCTGTATTATTTTCAACTTGGGTCTTACTTTCTGTCAGTGCACTTTCAGGCTGTGTGTGTCTGTCTGAGCGCTGCAGTGGTGCTGTTTGGTCTTACACACTCTTT